CTTAAAAATGCCTGATGTTTGGCAGTATTATATTTTGAAGCTTGTGTCTGCTGTGGAAATAACAAACCATAATTTAACATGAGTTTAATGAAGATGATTCTTCATCTGTCCTTCTGGTGCAATAATAGATAAGGGTATGTTTCATTGAAAGGAAACATCTCAAATTATCTAAAACAGGACTAGTTTTTAAATAATTGTAAGAGCAGGAGCCAGAGTCAGACTGTTACATCTACAGATGTATGTATAGCTGGCATCTGTCAATCTGTTTCTGTATTCTACAGAGAGCCCTAATGGGATAGAAAGGAAGCGGTAGAGTTTGAGCTTTTCCTGTCTCCCTGTGGAGTGAGCTTAAGGATTTACTGAAGCAGTATAAGAACAATTCATTAATTGGGCTAACTGAGCCTGGAAACTTGCCAGGTTGCTTTTGTGATCCGATTATTTAACCTTCTTTTACTCTGTCAAATGCTGACTCCTGGCAGATGAAGCAAATAACAGCTTAAAGCCAGGCAGCTCAATATTTAAAAAGGAGCACCGCTCTCATCTTTCCATGTACATGCACAGTTTACAAGTGTGGATTTGTGCAGAACAGAATAACCTGGAATATATAGACGGTTCTCATCCTCGCTGTACTGCATACTTCATTCACCTTGGCTTTTTTTTAGTTTGTAAAATATAAGTGGTGCCTCTGTCTAGCCACTGCTTTGAAACTTTGAGGTGAAAAGTTGGTATATAAATGTGTCAGAATAGAATTTTCTAATTCTAACATTTAGCATTGCTTTGCCAGTAGTAAAACCCCTAATGGCTTGATTAGATTAAATTTAGGCCAAGATAAAGCACACTTGGCAATTAATGGTATTGTAAACTAGATGGTCCCATTGTGTAATTGTGCACAAAGTGGAAAACTTAGTCTTCTGCTACTAACATATTGGTAAAATTGCTTCCTTTTCTGTCATTAAGATACATTGAATTAGCTAGTCAATATTTGTCTAGTTTCTGGGACTTGATTTTTCAGTGATTTCATTGTGTATGCAAAGGTTTAAAGAAACTGTGTACGGTTTAAGTAGTTGTGTATCTCCACGTTACTACTTTTACAGGCGGACAGATTTGTACTTCGATAACTTTAATTCTGTCAGAGGGATGAAAGTCCTGCTGCAAATTAGGAATTATTTAATTAGGAATTACTGCCTAAAAGGCATCTTGATGTTCTCAGGATGTTTAAAACAGGATCCTCGAAATAGAATGTCTCCTAGGTTAGTCAGACACATCACCATATGGAATGATCAGATGTCACTTATTTCCATTTTTAACAGATTTGTATAATATGAAAGATTATAATCAAGATATTTTCACACTCCACTGAACTTATCATATGCAAACTAAATTAAGGCATCAGTCAATAGCCCTTACTTCAGAAAATAGCAATGATTCAGGATAAAGGACTACTGTTGGAATATTTTGCAAACTTATAGATGTAAAGAAGTGTCCTTTTCTGGATATTAAAGGTAAAGCTTCAACCACTTTTCATGCAGCTACAGTTTTCTATGCTTTTCAAAGACAATGTGAACATAAACTTCGCTGTGGCTGAAATACTTGTGCTATAGAATTAGCCTTGGAATGAAAGTATGTTGTACAGAGGAGGAGAAAACGTGTCTTTTCACTAGAAATTGCAAGCCAGAATGGACTTCATGTTATATGGCAAGTTAAAAGTGCTTCTTTATAGCTGTGGTTGCAAAGCATGAGTTTTATAGAAGAGCAAACAATTGGAAACAGATGTAGTTACCATTCTTAACAAAAAAAAAACAAAACAAAACAAAACCCCAAACCAACCAAACAAAAAAAACCCGAAACAAACCAACCACTGCATTTAGCAGTATAACTAAGCTGTGTACAGTTACTTATTTCAGTGTGAAGTTCAGTAATGATGGAAATACAGCTTGTAGTACAATTTTAGAAAAAAGATCAAAGATTAAGGTTGAAACGGGAAAAATATGAGTGGCTCAAAATGTAGGACCAAGACTACTTAGTAGACTATTTATTTACAAACAGTTGTGAGATGTCCTGCTGGTTTATCAAGGTGCTGTTGATTAATAGTTCACCTATTAGAGAAAGAATCCAGTGGTAAACTTCTGTTTTGCCCAGGAAAAAATGGTGGTCCCTCAGCTGGCAGAAAAAGGAGGAAAAAACCTCACCATGGTTTACAGAGGAGCTGTGTTGATGTGGATCCAGTTTGGAACCAGTTTGTTTAATAAGTGCACCAATGTCCAGATAGGGATAAGTGATACTTATGGATATTCCCCCCCCCCCCCCCCCCCCAAAACACTTTGATTATCAGATTTAAACAGTACACACCTACCAGAGACCATATCTCAGGGATGGCAGCACGTGTTGGCTTCTGCATAGTTTGGAGGTCCAAAACCCTCTCTTTAATTGCAAGTAATGATTTTCGTCTTCTAGGTCCTTTATCACCTGTTGATCAGTATCTGGGAGAAGAATATGTACCAGGTAACCAAAGCTTGTAATGGGCACTAGTAGTAGGTTTGGGAGAGTTGTTCTGCTTTTTAGATTTAAGTGGTGATTAAAACTTGAGAGTTAGTAAGAGTGACTGTGAACTGTCGCTCGGCAGAATCTGTTGATGGCGCAACCTGTATGCAGCCCAGAGTGAAGCTCATGGGTGTGTATATGGAGAAAATACGCCCCTAAACCACTTCCAGTTTTCTTAAGAATATTTAATTTCTGCAAATTTTTCTTAACCTTCCGCCTTCCTTTCCAATATTTCTACAGTTTCTCTTTAAGGATTTGTATTTTGATCTTTGGTTCATCTTCAGGGACTTCCCTCAAGGTCATGTTCCAACCCTGAACTACCTGCAACTATCAGATTCCGTGTTCATATGAGACACTGCAACCTTGGAAAGGAACATGTCTTTCCAAATATTTCCTGTGTCAAGCCTTTAAGCATATTTAAACAGTGACTGTAAGCTGTATGATGATCTTCTGGAAAAGTCCACAAAACTTTATGTGGATAATAATGTTTTGGTGGGTTTTTTTGTTTGTTTTTGGTTTGATTTGTTGTTTTTTTTTTTTTTCCCAAGTCAGTAAGACCTGAGTCAACTCTGTCAGCTCTGCCCTTTAATCCCAGTGAGAACTGTGGCCTCCCAATGCCTCTTGCTTTCCCTCCTTTGCTGGATAATGTGGCACTTAGAATCATAGAATTGTTAAGGTTGGAAAAGACCCTTAAGATCATCGAGTCCAACCGTTAACCTATCACTGCCAAGTCCACCACTAAACTATGTCATCTTCCTAATGTCTAACCTAAACCTCCCCTGATGCAGCTTGAGGCCGTTTCCTGTCATTCTATCACTCGTTACTAGGGAGAAGAGGCTGACCCCCACCTCGCTACAACCTCCTTTCAAGTAGTTGTAGAGAGCAATAAGGTCTCCCCTCAGCCTCCTCTTCTCCAGGCTAAACAACCCCAGTTCCCTCAGCCGCTCCTCATAAGACTTGTGCTCCAGACCCTTCACCAACTTCGTTGCCCTTCTTTGGACACGCTCCAGCACCTCGATGTCCTTCTTGTAGTGAGGGGCCCAAAACTGAGCACAGTACTTGAGGTGCGACCTCACCAGTGCCGAGTACAGGGGCACTATCACCTCCCTGGTCCTGCTGGCCACACTCTTCCTGATACAAGCCAGGATGCCATTGGCCCTCTTGGCCACCTGAGCACACTGCTGGCTCATGGCACACTTCTTGCCCATGTGGCAAGTACTCATGCACATGGGATCATAATCTTATAACTCTGGGGTTAGTTGTCTCATCCACAAATTTAGCAATCCCAGAGTGAAGGCTTAACAGAACATTTCTTCTTCACTGGTATTGGTTCAGTGGGCTTGGCTACATGGAGGCTTGTCCATCAACCTCTTTATCAGGTGTTGCGTTTGTGCTGGTTTCACCTTCTTCAAAAGAAAATGCTAGACTTTTGAAACACCCACATAATATTTGATTTTGAGATGTTAATTTTCATTTAAGTGGCAACGTTGGTGGTTGTTTTTATGACTTGGTTTTTGTTTTGGTATCAGGTGTTAACAGGAGAATAGCTGTTTGGTAAGGTAGTGACCTTGCCTTTTTGCTAGCTTTTGAATGTCACAGCATGAAGATGCCCTGTGATGCACGGCCCTGCCCGCTGAGGGAGTTCAGCACCCAGGAGAACTCCTCCTCTTCGTCAAGGCCCTGTTTGTGACTGCAAGTTTAGGTGTAAATACAACCATCCTGCTGTATTTCAGTGCTGCACCCTTTTCTTTCTCAGGGTATCAGCAACCAGTATTGGCTACCAGGGTGCTGTAACAAATGATGTACTTTGGAGTTTGAAAGCTGGGTAAAAAGGGATGTGTGACATTGCTTGAGATATATCATATATGACTGAGAGTATAGATCTGACTTACCATAATGACTCAGTATTAATTTCAGGAATTACATGTGGCTACTGCTGTGGATCTCCCCCTTGATGAACAAACAACCTTTATCCTACTGTCATGCTCTCTACATTTTGAGTCTTTTACATGTTGATTATTATTAGCAAGGGCTTTCTGAAGCCTGCTGACCTACTGTAAATGCATCTTGCTGAAAATATAAATGTTGTGTTCCTAGGAGTGTGGAATTTTTTTTTCAGTCTCTGCTTACTGCAGTTGTCAGAGTGATGTTTGAGAGAACAGCATCCTTGAGATTTTATAATAGGGATGGTTGTTCAGATGGTTTCGTCATCGTTGTTACAGGTTAGATGCATCAATTATTAGGTATTACTTGCCTGTATTGGTTTCAAGCCTTTCAGTAGTACGCATCCTTAAGGAACTTTCTCCCTGTTGATGATGAGTATGATTTCTCATTGGCGCTCTCTGAGGCTGTATCAAGAATGCTTAAGCTTGCAATACACATGCATGATATGACTCGGAAGCTCGTGATCTTTGCAGGTTTTATGCTCAAATAGCTGTAGTTTCAGAGCTTTGCGGGAGATGAACCATCCATTGATGGTTCTGTTGCCATCAGCCTTTGTATTGGTGAGGTCTCTTTTCTCTTCCTGTGTGCTTCCATTATCAGCAATTTCCTTGGGACGGGTTGGCACGTTATTTACTCTGGAGGACAGATAACATGAGAAACGGAGCCATTTCTTCTGCTGGCTGAATGGTTCAGTGTTCCTCAGCACCATCTTTTGCTTCCCCAGCTGTTACACCAAATGTTACTGGCTTTTCTTATTGTTGACTCTCATCATAGTTCTTAGAAATGCCTTGATTATTTTTGCTTTCACAGTGGACAAAACCCACAGATGTCAGAATAATTATTTCTTTCACAATTTTTTTTTTGCTGTTTCTGACTTTGAAGTAAGTCAAAAACATGTAGCAATGCAGTGGTCCTTTTATAATACTTTCAGGATGATGCAAAATACAGCTTGGTAAGTTGTTTCACTTAACAAGAACATTTACCAACATGTCTAAGAGGTAGAATTAGAAATGATGACTGCTGAATTGATTCTTCCAACTCCACCAGCCTTTCAAATATAGTGACAACCTGTCCCCAGAAACACTGGAGATTTACTTTAAATTTTTCCGTAGGTGACTTCTGAGTTATATTTTAGACTGGCAACTTGCCTGCCTTTTCAAACCACCCAAGAACCACCTCTTCAGGCAGAAACCAGTATTCACACCCTTGACTTTCACTTTATACTGAAAGAATAGGCAAAAGTTTCTGCAGTGATTTGTCAGTAGTTGATATACCTGAGATTGTGGCTTTACTCACCAGTGGCCAAACAGTGGAATCCTTAAGGGTTTCATCTTGCAAAGCTAATACATCTTATTCTTTTCATCCACGTTTAATGCACAGTCACTTCTCATTTAGAAATATCTCTCTTCTTGACCTCTGCAAATTGGTGACCTGGAGCCATTTCCTTATCTTTAGCAAGTACTAGGCTCTCCCAGAGCTGTCCTCAGCTGTATGGTACGCAGTCATCTTGTGGAGAGTGTTTACATGACCAACTCTTGAGACCTATTGCCAGCACAGTGTAGTGCGTCGTTTCTTATAGCTGCTCCCAGTGAGAATTTAAGTGCAAACTACCGATTAAGGGCTGGAAAAGTTACTCACTTAATAGCAAGCTCACCTTTCCATGAGCTTTTCAGTGTCTGTCTGCATCTTGCTCATCTTCCCTTCTCCATCAGAAGCCTTCAAGGACTCCTCAGTGAAGGGATACAAAGCTACAAAGGAGCTGGAACAGCACTGGATGTGTTCTGCCCTGTATGTTCATGCACTGAAGAGGAGAGGCTGCTGCACTTGTGGGTGTCCTTTTCTGGTGGTCATCAAGGAAATAACATTCTCTGTTAGGCACACTGTATTTATTTATGAACTACGTAGCTCAAATATGCCCAATTGCTAGTTAAAAAAAGCTTTTTCTAAGCATTTTTATCCAATGGGTAGAGCTACCATAAAATAGTTGAGATTACAATGTCAGGATTTTGCAGTGTGAGGATTTTGCGATGCAGTGAGGCATGGCAGCTCTATCTAGGTGGTAGAGCATGTGCTTGTTCCCTATTCTTGTGTTTTTTGAAGAGCATTGAAGCACTTACTCAGTGTTCACCACCTGCTTTTCAGAATTTAAAGTAAGTTAGTTGAAATTTTTGAATCCAGCAAGTCGATAGCCAATGAAAAATAATTAATAAAATGTTGGTGATGTTTATTTAGTTAATTTGGCATTAAGATTCTGTTGGCTATAGTGCTAACATTGTGAAACAAAACCATGCCTGGATAGATTTGGGGTAATTGCATGACAGATTCTTTGTGCACTAATTAAGAAAGTAATTTTTATAGATCATTTTAAGACATGCCAACACTTTCATCTCTGTCTAGATTAACTTTTTTGGAGCCTCTGACATACTGTAAAAGATGACAGATATTCCAGACAGAGAACTAACAGCTCGGCCCAGTGGCTAGTTTTATCCAGGGGTCCCAGCTGGTTTGCTGAGACTGAAGAACCTCATATTGCTTTTGTGTAATCTAATAACTAGGGAGAAAGTGAGGCTAAATGACAGCAGCTGTGGCCCTGACATACCAGATATGGCTAAGCGGCTCTTTTTGCAAGAGGTGAGAGATCACAAAGAACCCCAAATGATGGGTTAATCCCACTGAGGCTCTGAGGGTGAGGGGGTGGGGAGCAATTGTCAGGAGGAATCCACCCCCAAGCTTTTGAGAAGGGAACAAAGAAAATCTTTGCTGGGGCAGCAAAGTCTGACTTGCCAGTGGGGCTGCAAAAATCGACAGAGATACTTTGGACTTTTCTTAACCCAGTTCAAGGAAAATTTTTCAAGTCAGCGTTCCAGTAAAATCAAAGAATTTCCAAATGCAGTGAGAAGCCGAAGTTTGAGATATTCTGGTTTAAATGAGACTTTCTTTTCAACCCTGTCTTTTGATCTGCTGCTTCCATGGAATACCTCTTCAATTGGGTGATACCTTGCAAGGTGGCTGATTTGCACAGAGATATGATTTAAGGATTACTTGAGTCATTTATGGAGCTGTGAAAATTACTGTCCTTCCTGAAGTTACGGTATGGCAAATTTGTGTTACATACAGCATTTGTCACTTAAAGAATTTGCTGAGGTTGCTTTAGTCTTCCAAATTACTTATATTTTAAGATAAACTGTTCTTCCTGCTGGTGCTTCTTGAGTGTTTTGGGTTTTTTTCCTCCATAACTGAAAATGATGCATCTTTTTTGGTATCCTTTTTCTTTCTTTGTAGAAGTGATGGACTTAGAGTGTAATTTGTCATTTTGATTAGATTTTCCCAGGCACACAAATCTGTTTAGGCATTTTTGTGTTTTGTTTTGATTTCATTCCTGTTTTGATATAATTATATAACATACATATATATAAATGATATTTCTTCTGCTAAAAAAATTTCCGCTCAAGAAAAATGATAAGCAAAGCATTTCCGTCTTATGTCCAAATTTGATATGAAATATTTACACAGGTTTATGAGTAAAAACTGACAGATTCTCTTTGGTTATAGTTTGAAATACTTGCAATGATTGAAGCGCTCCGGGATTTGGTTGTTTTTTTTTTTTTTTCCTTATCTGTTTTGAACAGTATCTTCAAGCTCTCATTGCTTGTTTTGGCATACTGTCAGTAGCTTTAAATGATGCATATTCACATAATTGTGGGGGGATGGTAGAATGAAGTTACTTTATTTCTGTTAGTAATGTCCTGTTGTTGTCCCACAAAGCAGGGTTCTTTTACCCGGTGTGCAAAAAGCCAAATAACACAGAGTCGAGATATTTGTTCATTTCATGTCTGTGCAGAGATGGGTGCTAGGTGATAACTCCACAAGCCTAGCACATCTTGGTTAACATGCAGTGACATTTTGTACATGCTGAGTAGCTGTTATCAGTATTTTCACAATTCCACTTATTCGTCCTTGCTTCTGTTGGTTCTCACAAGCCTCATCTCCACTTAAGGGTACAGTGTGTTTTAAATTTACAGAGCATGCTCAGTGGGTAGGGGTCTTTGCTTGGGCCAGGGGCTTCGTTGCTGGAGGTGCGGTTTTTACTATGTTAATTAGGATAGTTCACTCATGGTTCAAGTGATTCTCACTTTGGCTTTATCAGTGGCCTTGTTTTCTCCTGCTTATCTTGGTATTTCCTTACTAGACTGTTGCTGGACTGGTGTCCTCCTGTTTCTTCTCTCAGGCCAGGTCTTGTTAACTGTTTACAGAGATTGATTAATGTCCTCTGCCTTAACATCCTTTGTCTTATTTCTCGCATATCCAACACTGTGATATAGGAGGAAGGTAGATGTTTGAGGAAATACATTTAGAGCACATACTGCTATGGAAAATATTAAATAAAAAACCAAAACCAACCTTTATGTATTAAGGCAAATACCTGAGAAACATTTTAAGGTACAGAGTAAGAACTTTTCTGTGTAACACCTGACTGAGGAAAAGGGGTTCTTGCTTCTGCATGCCCAAGCAATGCCACTCATCTGGATCAATTAAAAATAACTGTTACTAGTAACATATAATCTTATATATACTTCTATAGCCTCATTTCCAAATGGAATGAATCCTGTGTAAATCATGCTCTGTCTTTCTCTGGATTGCTCTCATAACTCTTGATTCTGCTGGTTGCCTGTAGAAAACTTTGGTAAGGATAAAGACAGATACCCAGCAAAGTCCCAAGTCCGGGACATGTTGTCAGTTCTTACTGCACACCTGATGACTGAGGTCAGAGAGTCCTTAGAAATAGCATGGTGTAGTATTCTTGGAGTTCTGTCAAATGCAAGACCTATATCCATTCATGCAACAAGCATGCTACTCCTCTTATGGTTTCCAGACATTAAGTTTTGATTCCCTGTGTGAATAGGATGGAGAAAAATTTTCAGGTTTGGCAGAAAGCAAATGGCCAGAGGTAGGCTGTTTTACTTAATCCGTATATATGTTGTTCATGCCTTCCCGCCCCGCGCCCCCCCCCGCCCCTCCCCCCCCCGGCCCTCGCCCCCTTCTCCATAGTTTGCTTTGATACGCTCTTTCACCAATATGTTGCTGGAAGAATGTGCTTGAAGCAAAGATCTAAATGTAAATTTTTACCTTTGTTTCCTAATTAAAGTCAAGATAATTATCTGCCTACATTTCTAAAACTCACCTTCTACTTGAGTACGTTTTCAAAAATATAAGATATTTTTTCTATCTTTAATCTTGGTTGTATTTCATGCTGTTGTGATGGTTTTGCCAAGTATGGAGGGAGAAAAGTCCACTTTGTTAGTGGAACTGCATAGTATCTCACTGTCTAAGCAAGCGTGAATTTTGGGAGCTGGGAGTGGTTTTAAGTTATTTGAGATCACTGTTTTCACGTCTATGCTGAGATCTAGAAAATGGACAAAGCTCATAGAATTTTGGTGGTGTTTGGATTTTTTTATTTTTAGACTAAGCTTGCCACTGGTTTTGCATGGAGCCACCTTGTTCTGTTGGTAGAATCATGGAAGTACAGATTCTGAAATGTCTCAGAAACTTATTTTGGGTTTCTATAGAAGTTTTTTTTTATTCTAGTCTGCATGAAAAGATGTCGCGTTTTGCCAGTGGAGCCTGCAATATAGGTTTAAAACAGGTTATCAGATGATGACTGTGAATAAAAACTAGTGCTCGAAAGTGATTATCACCTCCTAGAATTTGAAAGTGGAGACTGATGTGCTGCACAGTGCAGAGTGGACAACATGGTCTAGAGTTTGAAAGGTGCTACAAAGGTGTGCTAGAGGATGTTCTCTCAAGCCCTGGTATATTGAGCATTTCTGATGCCCCAGAAGGGTGCAGAGCCAGGCTTGTCAGCTTCGTTGGCTTCTGCTACGTTGCAAATCTTTTGTGCTATGTTCTGCATTATGGTAAATATCTCCAGAACCAGTTTTAACACAGGTGCTGCAGACAAAAACACTATTTCTGTCGTATACTTCCAAGACACTTATTTTCATATGTGCACAGATGGTGCTGCCTGGGTGGTATGTATATGGCCATGAATTTCTCTGACATGCCCAGGTCTTTGTTGCTAATGTGACTGATTCAATGTTAGTGAGTTTAATCATAGTTGTCACGAAAATGAGAAGGCTTATTTAAAAACTGTTCAAAACAACATGAATTTATTTCTTTGTTTCTTTAGGAGACATCACTCAGAAAGGATATGAAAAGAAAAGAGCAAAGCTGTTAGCACGGTACATACCACTAATTCAAGGTAAGAGACTGCATATAATTATAGAATCATAGAATGCTTTGGGATGGAAGGGACCTATAAAGGCCATCTAGTCCAACCCCCCTGCAATGGGCAGGGACATCTAGACTAGATCAGGTTGCTCGGAGCCCCATCTAGCCTGTCCTTGAATGTTTCCAAGGATGGGGCATCTACCACCTCTCTGGGCGACCTGTTCCAGTGTTTCACCACCCTGTTCCAGTGTTTCACCTGGCAAAAACCCAAAGTTTGCTTAAAAACCCTAAGCTAACTACTTATTTCAGTTTCCTGACATATGTTCCATTAACCCAGTTCTAGCTCAGAATTTTATTAATTGACACAGCTTCAGCATGGCTCAGATTAATGTGTGGGAGTCCCAGTGGCTTTGAGCCTGCAGTAGATTTTGTCGTTAACAATTTGATCCCAGGATTTTTTGTAACATCCTTTGCTTAGTGGCATTCCTTAGTAGCATTCCTGATAGGATTCATTAAGTTTCCCATTATCCATCAAGTTTTTGCAGACTGATGGATGCCAGCATTTTAGATTTGAAGTTCTTAGTCTGTGATTTGACCATCCCCAGGACCAATAACTCGGGTCTTTCTAAAGCTGATTTGGTCATCATTTCTTTTCCAAATATATGCATTGTCATCTTTTCTCTGTTGGGCTACGAGGTAAAGACTGCTGACCAGTTAATTTTATCTCATGGTCTTCAGTACTTATTTGAATGTCACAAAACCTGATGTCTTCCTCCTAGTGCAGCAGTACCTTGCTCTACTTGTTTTGTTACAAAATTTTAGCTGATAGTACAGTTCTGCTGATTTGGAAGGTTTTTAACAAAATGTAGGGTGAGCAGTGAAAGTACTGAGTAAGAAATAGAATTCCTGGTGAGAGGCAGGAAAGTAGAAAAAGGAGTAATGGGAAAATTGTTTTAAATGAAAGGTTTTAATTACTGTAAGTTTGTGAAATATGAAATGATTAGAGAACTTGAGATAGGTCTGCATGTTGATGTGGTACTTGTAAAGAAGGAAAAAGTAGTGGCACAGGTTTGGAAGCAATTGTGGAAAGAGATGGATTAAATTGAGAGAACAGTGACCGTTCTGTGAATCTACTGTAGGTTCTCCAACTTAGACTTGAATGTGGACAGGTTTTTCTGCAATTTTTGGGGTGATTCTTCTGTCTTGTTTGAAATTGGAAAGAGATATCTGTAATCATAGCATTCAGATTTACATGGGTGGTTGATGGGATCTTCTTTTAACAAATATTTATGAATCAAAAAGTTGTATGATCTTTGTGTCTTAAAGCATACTCATATACCAATAAGATTTGAGTTCTGGAAGTTTTCATGCTATACCTCATCAGCTGCCACATAAAAACTGATCATATGAGAACTCCTGCTCTTTCAATGCCGTATAAAATGGATTGGATCAAGTTTCTACTGCACTGTGTAGCTGAATCTGTGGGGAACCAAATCATTATACAGACAGTGTTAAATAACCCCACAGAGGGCTTGGTGAATAGAAAAAGAAAGAAGTGGCTGGAAAGCATATTTTCAATTAACAGTAAAATTAAGTAGAACATGTTACTATTCAGGAGTTGCATTCCTGTAGGCTCTGTTTTCCATTCTAAAATTCTAAACCTGCAGTTATGAAGAGTTAGTGGAAATGTTAGATTTCACTTCGGAACCATAAAACTATGTAGTTACGGTGAAATACTAACTAGAATGTGTTATCTTTCACTAATCCAACCAAATGCATTGTGCAAAAGTAAAAACAAGTGGTGAGTAATAGCAGGCCTTAACAGTAATCAGTCAATAATCAGTTTCCCCAGTCAACCTCTGCACCCAAATTTCAGATAAAACTCTGAGGAAATAATTAATTATATCTGTAGGCAACCTGGCATGCTGCTAAGTGAAGCTTCTGAGTGATGGATAACATCAGACACATTGCAAAAATACATTTTGAATGTGGATAGAGCTTGGGTGTAAAAAGATTCAGAAATAACATGATAAAATGAGCAGCATTTACAGTGAAATTTGGTAACTTGCATCCTGGAGCGTACTATGCTGATGGGGAGCAAATACTGTACTCCCTTCTCTCTTTCTTTTTTTCCTTGTTGCCAATGTTCATTGTAATTTTTCTGTTGAATTTCAGGAAACTTTTAATGATTAAAGGAACTGTTTCTTTCTAGAATCACTTTATATTCCCACATGTGGGATATATCTCAGAATGAGAAACAATACCAGAGATGATGGCAATTCCAAAAGCCTCATTATAAGCAATCTCGATGCTGTGCTTGCGAGAGCAGGTAACTTCTACCTGTGAAGTTTCATTTGTCATTGGAGCATTAAAAAATTCATGTCAGGAAGTGGAATGTCATGAGCTGATTGTTGAATGTGAAATAAATAAAATTTCTTTTCTGCACTCAAATGTGATATGTTGGTAACTGTAGGTTTCTTTTTAGTGGTTGCCATGCCATTACCTGAATTCTGCTGATACTCCAGACACTTAAAACCATTTCAAAGCTATTTTAACCAAAGGGGAAGATGAAATACGAACCTCAGAGGTTCTGACAGCAACCAGTCAGTCACTTGAAGGTAGTCTGCATTCCCTTTTGTTAAATAGGAATTACCCTGGAACCATCATTTGCTATACTGTGGTAATTTCCTACTTACCCACCAGCAGTTTCTTTAAAAAA